CCTGTAGGGGAACGTGGGGCAAAGTGGACCCTGGGGGCAAAGTGAAACTTACAAATAATTTTGAAGCTACTGGCTCCATCTCTGAGAGACTCGGCTAAGAACAATTAAATTCATCAGTCTAACTCTCTGTAAAGTTATTTTTTAACACTTCCATTAGGTAACCTCAAAATTAGTGAAAACTTATTTTCTGTGCATCCGTTGTAATAATACCTGGTAAGTAAATAACCTGTAACTTAAACTAGCATATCAAAAAATGGTTTCAAATCTAGTTTGCCTGTTTGTGTTATCATATGACATAAAACTTATGATCATACTTTGACATATAAATACAATTCAATATTAGTTTTTTATATTTAACCTATTAGATGCATGTGGGGCAAAATGAAATTTATTAATGGGGGCAAAGTGGAACAGATCCATGTGGGGCAAAATGAAATTTATTAATGGGGGCAAAGTGGAATGGTCCATATTTATAGGTGTATACATCTTGTATTTTAGAATAATGGTTCGAAAATATAATCGAAAGACCACCCAACAGAGTTGGAGTGAAGAGTCGATGAAAAGGGCTATAGAGGAGGTACTCGGAGGAAGTTTAACAGTCAAAAGTGCAGCGGCAGAATATAATGTGCCAAAATCGACCCTATTTAGAAGAGCAAAAAAAGGCAATGAAGAAAATGCCTCAACAGCTGCCAAAAAGGGATTAGGTCGTTTTAGAACTGTATTCAATGTGCAGCAAGAAGGGGAAATCTTAGAATATATTTTATTGATGGAAAAGAGACTCTTTGGTCTGAGTCAAATGGATTTGCGTTCACTTGCTTATCAATTCGCAGTAAGGAATGGTAAAATAGGAATATTAAATAGCTCTTATTTTAAGATTTACCAAAATTTTGCAGGTATTCCTAATAACTTCGATCAAAAATCAGGTTTGGCAGGACGTGACTGGATTCAGGGATTTTTGAAGAGACATCCACGACTATCCATGCGCTTACCAGAAAAAACGTCAGCTGCACGGGCATCAGCTTTCAATAGGCCTAACGTAACTAAATTTTTCGAACTCCTCGGAGAATTAATGGACAGGTACAAATTCTCAGCTAGTCATATCTACAATTGTGATGAGACAGGTATATCTACTGTACCGAACAAACCTGGCAAAATTATATCCCTGAAAGGGAAGAAACAGGTCGGAATATTATCTTCAGCAGAAAGGGGTACCCTTATTACTGTCGAAATATGTTACAATGCAGCTGGATTTTACATCCCACCACTGCTGATATTTCCCAGAGTGCGAAGAAATCCTCTTTTCGAAAAAGGTTTGCCTCCCGAGTCTCTTGTCGAGTGTCACCCAACAGGTTGGATGCAGTCACACATTTTTGCTCCAACTTGGTTTAACCATTTTCTTAAATACTCAAAACCGACAAAGGAGGAACCTGTTCTTCTCATCTTAGACGGTCACTCTACTCACACTAAAAACCTAGAACTGGTTCAAATGTCTAAAGAAAATAATGTGCACATCCTTGTAATTCCACCACACACTTCCCATCGGATGCAACCATTGGATGTGTCGTTTATGTTTCCACTGAGTTCGTATTATGGCCAGGAATGTAAAAATTGGTTGCGTAACAATCCTGGAAAGGTGGTTACAATACACGACAGTGGAGAATTATTTGGAAGAGCGTATCAACGAGCTGCAACCATACAAAATGCATTGAGTGGATTCAAAAATACAGGCATTTGTCCATATAACCCCGGAGTATTCCCCGACGATCTGTTTGAACCAGCTGAAACAACTAACAGAAAATCAAACAACGGAAACGGTGAAGAAGAAGATGCGCCAGAAAATGAAAGCAACACTCCTCCTGATCCCATAGAACGTACACCTTCACCTGGAACAGTTGAAAATATTCCACCACAGCCCAATGATGCAAATTCATCGCCGTTACCTGGCTGTTCTTATAAACAACAACAATCTCAGCAGTTATATTTCTCCCCACAGGACATAATGCCAATTCCAAAAGCTGATACGCAGAGACCAAAAAGGAACTATAAACGAGGGAAGACCATGATTCTAACTTCTACCCCTAATGTAGAGGAACTCAAGGAACACAATCGAGTGTGCCAATCGAGGAAGCCAAAGAATCTTGCTACACGGAAACTTTTTTCAGCTGCAAAAAAAGGGAAGAAGTTGAAGGTAATCCAAGAGTCGAGCTCAGATTCCTCTTTGCAAGAAAGTAAAGATCTATGTGATGACTCATTATCGAGTTGGAACGAAGACGATGTGGATGAAATATCAAAGCCTTTGCATCAATCCCTTGCTGTTGAGCAAGTGAACGTTGAAGATATTAAAGATGGAGATTTTTTAAAAGTAAAACTTGCTGATGTAAAAAGTAAAAGCACAAAAATATTTGTTGCTAAAGTTCAACAAATTGAGGATACAACAGTTACAGTCTCATTTATGCGCCAATATAGGCAAAACTTTGACACATACGTTTTTCCTGAGATACCTGATGAAAGTGAAATATTTTTCAGCGAAGTTGTCGGTCGTCTACTTAATCCTAAAATGCTTCGGCATGGCCAAATCAAGTTTGATATAAAGTAAATTTTTTTCAGCATTATTTTTTGTGAATTTTTGCGTATTATTATTGACAAATACATAATTAAATTAAATATATTGCTCGCCATCTTGTTGTATCATATTTATTTAGTTTCTTCAGTTTGCTACTTAGAGTTTCACTTTGCCCCAGGTTGGTTTTCACTTTGCCCCTTATAAGGGGCAAAGTGAAATTCTTGCGTATGTTTACTAAAAAAATTATATTCCGAACAATTTCAAATTTTATGCCCAATAGATATATACCGTATCTAAGTTAATAAATATACTAAAAGTCTTGAAGATAAGGAACTCTATAAATCAAAAAATTAATTTTTTATAAGGTGGTCTTTCTTAAGGTGTCCACTTTGCCCCACGTTCCCCTACAGGGGAAGGGTGGGCCAAAACCCACACTAACCTGAAACAAAGAAGGAGCTAAGGGAAGCCAAGGAAGAAGAAAACAGAGCCTATGAGAACACGAAATCAAGGAATTCGCCGAGGTCGCGAAGAACGTCGACAAACTCAGACCAATGAAGAGGAATGTGTACATGTAATGGTATAAACACATCAGAAAATACAAAAGGAGGAAACAAGGGGGAAACAGAAATATATACCAACGGCAGCGCGGGCGATGCTGGGACTACCCAAATTCCTAATCAACAGAACCATAAACGCGTGGCCAAGGGAGTATCCTAGTATACAATGGTTTTGGAAGAAAACCGAACACCAAAAGAAAACCAGGGGAATCAAACAAGGATCCCCAAGGATCTTCGGGATAGCACTTGACCACGCTATAGAACAAACGAGGATGGTGGTGAGGAACCTTAGCACAGGCGGCCAATTACAAATACCGACATTACTGGCGTACGCGGACGATCTACTCGTAATTGCGGATAATTTAGAAGACACTGAGGACTTCGTCCAGGCCAGTGAGGTACCAGGTACACCTGGAAATAGTGGACCTACAAATACACAACAAAATAGCTACATGATGACAAGAGTGCCAGGAAACAACATCCCTAGTACAAAGAAGGAGAGAAGACCGTAATAGCCGAGAAGGAGATACCCATGAAGCACAAGATCAAATATCTGGGAACGTACATAAGCAGCACCCTCAGCAGGCACAACGCAGTGAAAGACAGAATAACCAACGCATTCAGAATCACACACGGAATCTGGAACTTCTTACGAGAGAAGAAAATACCGGACAGCTTGAAAATGAGGATTTACAACACGATCATAGCACCGACAATCTTATACGGAATTAGCACTTCAGGGCTAACAAGGAGCAACATACGAACATTGAGGAGGGCGGAGTGAAAGGAACTCAGGATACTGCTGGAAAACAGCAACCTTACAAGAAATCAGAGAAGAGAACTACTAGAGAGAAAGACGATTACCAGGTAACTGAAGATGAGGTAGATGAGACACTGGGGACATACCAACAGGAGGAACAAAGACCATATCATAACGGGCTGCCAAGATTCTATGTACCTGGGAATGGAAGGTAGGCCGACCCTGCCACACATGGAACACCACCATAAACCAAACGGTAGAGGTCTCGGTGATTACCATGGGAAGATGGGAAGAGAAGAGTGGAGACAAACATCAAAGGAAGAAAGAAAGCAGAAGAATGCTAGAGGTGGAGGAAGAATCAGACACAAGGACAAGTAGCCAAGGGGAGGAGGAAAGGGCCTAACACGAAGAAAAACAGGGAAGGGAACGAGACCAAAACATAGAAACATCGGAAGCCAATGAACGCCCGGAGAAGAAGCTATCACTATTCACTAGAAAGCAGAGTTCCCTCTAAGGCAGAATACCAGTGGCGAAGCTGTGGCCGTACCCGTTCGGGTCGGATAACACCCAGTTAGCCGCCCCCCCACAACCCCCCCAATCCGCAATATCCACCACATTGTTTGGCATATGTCGCGGTCCAGCGCGATGGCAACAAAGTAGTGGAGAAACGTCCCTGATAGTGCCTACCAGGGACGCATCCTCACGACAGTTGACTAAATCCTGGGAGAGGCGGCGACGCCAGGCATATGTCAAAGTTTCAAGTTTCAAGTTTCAATACATGTGCATTGTGCAATAATAAATTGTACTTATCATTTAACGGTTGTAGTAAAATGCTGTTTATTTCTGCCAGTGTTTCAAAACCAATACAGATAAATATAACCCTATGAAGCTCGGTCGTAGCGATCATTAGTTACGCTAAATATAGCCCGGGCGCTAAAAACATAGCCCAAGGCCTGAATGAAGTACAAGGTAGTGATAGACAACAGTAAATATATTAATTTATTATGATTACAAAAATATAAAAAAGCCGACCCTCATTGAGGTAATCATCTGGATAATTTAAACAAAATAATACTAATAAATAGACAATGTGTTTGGTCTGATTGCGAATTCAATACAAAGGTATCCGGATGTATATGTTATTGTTATAGCAACAACATATCCTGCATATCGCTATAGAGTAAATAATTTACTCTATGATATCGTATAGTCCAATGGTTGGCACCATTATTAATCTTATTCGCGAAAGCTAAGATAATTATTGAAAAATAAACATCTAATAAGTGAAGGAAGTTCATTTAGATATATGTAGATATATAAACAAACACGTTGAAATCATCAAAATACCTATTAGAACTATGTAGGTATAATAACGCATTTCGACAACTTTTTTTAAACTCTAATTAAATATTAAAATAATCGATAATACCTACGCAGATTGAAAACACAAGTATCGAGTATACGTAATGAATTGAAAATATAGCTGAGTGGTTTTATTTACTTCATTGACGATGACTAAGTGTACCTATACTGTACAAGAAGAAGAAAAACATGCATGTTTCTAACTTTTTAATTTTCTAAAGCTATGCTATGGATATATTTAAACCCCTTTCGAAGCTCGGTTATAAAACCGGCCTACTTAACAATAGAAGGTATAGCTCTGCTACATTTCATTTTTACTATCTGGAAAATACGTATGATGAATTCACCACAATAAAAAAGGCACATATACAACGGTGACAATACTGGCCAATATGTAACCAATAAGGTAAGTAGTACTTATATTCCAGTGTAAGAGGAGAAACCAGGATTGTTACACCGTGGGAGAAACTAAAAGTTTGACTCACGCGTGTGTCGAGATTACACACGAGGCGTAGCCGTCTGTGGAGTGGTACACAAGTGAGGGATTTACGCAACATACACAACATTTTGCTTCCCGACTTCATGAGAGAAAATATTCTGTTAAAATTGGTGCCTTTGCGCAGGGCATTTTTCACTTTTAGTCATTAGTCATTAAACGATCATAATAGTGATATAGATAGCGGATTGAAAAATTGAGTTTGTCCATGCCCAGAGTAAAAACAATAATGTATGTTTATTTATTATGCCGAACTGATGCGTAAACAATTCATCACCCTGTATATTCCGTTGTCATTGCCGTAGTAGGGAAAAATAACTGTGACTTTTGCCACCGACCGCTTTAAAACAGCGAGATTAAGGTTATGGTAATAGTTTATAAACAACAATTTTTAAATGTAATCATAGATTAATAATTTTCATCTGATCGAATAAACACATTGGTCGGATACTCAATAATTATGACCACAAAGCAGTCGCAAGAAGTAGATCCTGTTAAAAATGAACGTATGGGAAACGTCCGTGAAGTTGGCTCTCAGGCAATCTGGAGCCTATCATCATGCAAACCTGGTAAATATACAAGAACCCTTCCTTACGTGTGCATAAACTTTCCTAGGATTTGGAGTGGAGCAGTTGAGAGATGATCGTACAGACACTTACTGGCAGTCGGATGGGCAACTTCCCCATTTAGTAAACATTCAATTTCAACGTAAGACTACTGTTAGCGACATTTTTATTTATTCGGAGTATAAGCTCGATGAAAGTTATACACCGAGTCGTATTTCAATAAGGATCGGTACACATTTTAACGACTTGCAAGAAATTGAAGTGGTTATGTTAACAGAACCCACAGGTATGGGAGTTGTGTTCTATCTAAGTAGCTTTTCTAATACTATCTGTATAGGTTGGGTGCATATCCCTATTAAAGATGTACACGATAAACCGATACGAATGTTTATGATTCAAATTGCCGTTACCAGTAATCATCAAAATGGTAGAGATACGCATATGAGGCAGATAAAGATTCACAGTCCTACAGAAGGTCGTGGAATTTCTATGGATAATTTCGCAAATTTTAGCAGTCTTGAATTTGTAAAGTATGCTACTATTAGATAATGTTGATGTATTATTTTTTTGTATAAAGAATTGTAGGAACATAGTTATTAAATTCCAATATGTTTTCTGTTTTTGTTTATTTGGTTGTATTTGCATTACCTTTATGGGCTTTCAAGATTTATATGATGCCTTGTGTTGCTGTTGATGGAATCTGTGTCAATTTAAGATTTTTATTTGAAGTATCATTAATTTTATCTTTCATGGTATTCTAATTAAAGGTCTCAACGAAAGGAACCCTATTTCTACCAACTATACCACCCTTCTTTCTGACCTCTTATCAAGAGAGGGAGTGGGGTTGAACTGGTTTCATCCTTCATGGTACTCCAATTATGCGTATATAAAGCATTATCAAGATATCGCCTAGGTACCTCTATGATTTCTCGACCCCACCAGAAAATTCATCACACTAAAACTTTTTCCTAACAAAGATCTCCTCATTTCAACTGATGAGGTCTATCTCATGGTTTGTAAAATATTTTCAAATGACATTCCTAAGTTTATAAAATGTGCAAAATTTACTTTTCGTTGGAGCAAAGGTAGGATTAGAAATGATAAATGGCACTTGTCAACAATGCAATATGGTTAAAGAAATTAGATAAGATTTTATTAAAGTCTATATAAAAATATACAAAAATTTACAATAGTTGCATATTTACAGTGAAACTCCACAGTGCCTTTAAGAATTATGTTGTTTCTACTTATTCTAATTTATCCTGCAAGAATTTTTTGTTATTTCCCAAGTGAAAATGTAGAACATCTAACCGACAATTTTTTTGCAAATCTTCAAGAACATCCTAACATAAAAGGTACAGTCGTACAAGTTAATAAAATTGTACGATTCATGAAAAATATTTTCAGGCAATACACTAGAAGAATCTGAAGCATTTATTAATAAACAAGTAGAAAATTATGTCGCACTAATTGAGCAGACCCATGGCACAATTGAGCATAGGTTACATAGACGAAGTTTACCTATTGATCATACAATTACGCTTATAAAAGATAATGCAGGTGAGTAAGTAACTTGGTAACCCAAAAATGTCCACTCACAAGTGTATATAAGTGTAATGCGATTCTGCTATAATTAACCAACAGCAACCAAAATATTTGAATTTTAGAACTACTTATACTAGGTACATTTTTCCTCCTAAAATATTTATGTACAAGTTGAGCAAATGGTTAGACTCCAAAAAAATTTACACTCAAAACGCAGAGTTATTCCTTGAATCAACACCAAAAAGATCCTTAAAAATATAATCACAATTATGCATCCCCAAAAACTTGTGTAACTCTCCCATATCCATGTGATTGCACTTAACATCACGATTTTGAAAGATCTTTTCCTCGAAGTTATCGAATTTTAAAAAGCTTCCCTCCTTACCCCCCTTACACTCCTCGCTAATTTTACAAAAAATCCGTTTCCAATTCATCGACTTAATCGCCTGCCACCACTCCTCGCAATCCCTCTTGTACCCTTCCACGCAAATAACTCCCGGCTTACCGGGCAAACAAAATCCGGTTAGTTTCAGTTGACTCGCCAAGTCCACAATTTCCCGTCGTTTCGTTTTACTGTAGATATGATGGGAGTAAATCCACAGACGAATGAGTTCATCACTCTCTTCCACTTTCTTCACCGGTACTTCTTCCTCTAACTCCACAAAACAAGATGCGTTGTCTTGTAGCCAGGAAATGGCGGAAAATATACAGACTTCACCCTTCTCCAGCTTGCCAATGTAGTCGGACATTCCCTTGTTTATTTTGGCATGTTGTTCCCGGTTTAGTTTATGGTTTCGAATATAAATGTCCGGTTCGACATCCGGATACTCGTGTGATAGATTTATGCAGAACTCGTATTTGAGATTTTCGATCGACAGATTTATTGTGATGTCCAGAAACGGCGGTATGATGTCGTTCGTTCCGTTTACGAAATTCCTAATTTCCCGTAACGCGTTGAAGTCGTCCACGCGAATTTCACCCGGATTGTAGAACATCGACTCCAACATTTCGAGCTCGGAGAGTTGTGTTCGGAGATTTTCCGTTAATTTTACGCGGCTGAGGGGTGTATCAAAGACAGGTTCCATTTGAGCTGCAATTCAATAAAAAATTATATTTGCAGGAATTTACGTATTAGACGGAGTTATCCCCGAATATGGCATAAAAGTTCAACTACCCAAAGATATACATTTATTCAGCTATGAAACTGAAGCCGGCGAAGCATGGTATGGGGCAGCTTTAGAGACTGTAAATGGAACAGTAGGAAATGATTTAGTAATCTTTAAGTATGAGGTAATTAAAGTATAACAAAAACGACCGAAGCATATACCGCTATGCACTTTTTTAGAATCGCCAATTTAGTCTTATAAACAAAATACCAGTCCGAAATGGGGTAAGATTGGCTACAATTTCTATTGATGGGGGAGTATGTATAATTGTGGCAGAAAATAATGCTATTGGTGTCAAGATGCACAACAAGACGCAAGTGATCAAATTTATTCCTAGCACAGGCCAATTGACCCATATACAGTTTTTGGATGCCGAGTATGCAAGCGATGTGGCTTTGTGGTAATGTTCTTAATTTTTGTGTATGAAATTTTTACAAATCACCATGCCATTGATGTTTATTTATGGATGAAAGAGTAAGCCTATTAATTTTAAATCACCTTATATAATGCTATTTGACTTTTCCATTAATCATACACACTAATACCTATAATCAATGGTTTAATTCAAAAGACTAGTTTAACTAAAGCTCCCAAAAAAACACCCTCTATATTTCATTAGATCTCTTCCAAATGTAAGGGTTTTCTTCAATATGAGGATTCTGAATTCCATAATCTTCAAGTTACCCCCTATGAGGTCTTGATCTAAAGTTATTATTCTTGGCCATTTAGGCTGATATATCGCAACACTGAATGACTACTATACAGGGTGGTGACTTGCGTAACGCATCATAGGGATTTCAATGTAAAATTCATAACATGCGATTATTGGCTCCCCAAATTATTTTAGAGCAAAAATGTATTAAGTTTTTTTGTAGAAAAAAATTTTTTACGTCAATCAACCGTATTAGTTTTCAATTTTTTGCATAATAAAGACGGAAATTTGGAAAAATAAAACCCCCAACTTTTTCAATAATCTGCGCTGGCATGGAATTTTCTAAAACAAAAAGATATCCAGTTATCAATTAGCAGCAGTTCGAAATGGATTTTATGATCGACTTGGTTACTGTATTACAGTTAATGGTGACATATTCGAACATTTATTGTAGATTGTTATATTAGGAAACCGTTTTTAGTAATTTGGTATTTCTTTATGTTGAATTCGTTGTTCTAAATATAATACTTTTTGATAGAATTTGATTTGTTTTATAGCAGACATTCCATGGCATGACGGATATTGGCGTATAGTTTTGTATTATAAAATTCCATGGCATCACAGATTATTGAAAAAGATGGGGGTTTTATTTTTCCCATTTTCCGTCTTTATTATGAAAAAATTGAAAACTAATACGGTTGATTGACGTAAAAAATTTTTTTCTACAAAAAACCTTAATACATTTTTGCTCTAAAATAATTTGGGGAGCTAATAATCGCATGTCATGAATTTTACATTGAAATCCCTATGATGCGTTACGCAAGTCACCACCCTGTATAACAAGCTAAGGATTATTGCAAATGCACAGCTAAAGACAATAATTTAAGGGCCGAGAGCAATGAGTTGTAAGGCATGACGAAATCGTTTGGAAAGGGGGTTGCATAAATATCAAGATTTTGGAGTTGGATAGGAGCCAAAAGCAAGGGTTTTTATTTATGTATCAGATGCCCTGTACACCAAGGAGTAGTAACAGATATTGACCTTTATATGGTGTAACGTTTTATTCAACTGGATAATTAGTTGTCAAATAAAACAGAAACAAATATGGTTCAATATAAGTGTGACCTATATACTGAAATGTAGGATTAATTTTTATCAAAGCTGGCGCGCATGCGCAAATCCGATAACCAAACAAAAGAAAGTGCGCTTGCGTAAGCATAGACATTTTTATATTTTTTCCACTTAACTACTGTGCGATCAAAAATGAGTTGCTATCAAGTCACCTTTGGAATTTTTGTTTACATGAGAAATTGTACTTAACTTGAACTTTCAAAGGCTACTCGACAGCAACTCATTTTTGATCGCCCGTTACTAAACAAACCAATTAATTAATTAAACTAATAACTTCTTTGTCCTCTTTTTTTCAATAATATCCTTAAATATGAAAAAAATAACTTCAATTTGTCTTATACAAATTTCAAAATATCTTTTTTTTATCGAATGCAGCAATTTAAAAACAGATAGATTACTTTTTCTAATTTTTTCAAATATTAGGTATAAGGGATAATTATTTCTAATCCATTATCGAGAGCAATTTGGCTGAGTTCAAGCTTGAATCTGCGTGTGAAGAACCCGCACCAATAACTTTTAAATAATATTGAGTGCCTAGCTATTATACGACTTTTCCAATCAAAACTAGTACCTACCTACCTACCTTTCACAGAAAGGGGAATTTTATACTTCTCAATTCCTCAATTATGCTACTTTGTTTGCAATACAGTACTCCAACGGAGATTTACGTTTATTTAAACTCCTTTTACCTGTAATAACAAACACAATTTCTATGCAAAATAATGTATTGAAAGAAATAACAATGATTAATACTACATACTACAAATGGCACAGACTATGAAAGTGAATACTGATTTCAGTTCATTCTCTAAGGAAGCTTCGATTCATTACTTTCAGAGTATAAAATATGCGCATCCTGGCATGAAGAGTCAATACGAACTTCAGAGGAAACTCGTCACAGGGATGTTGGAAGGATGCGCCTGCATATTTGTTCAAGAGATGCAATACGACGTTGTCGCTTATGGCAGCTTTCCTGAACTCGTTTTTAAATAGAGTGTTTAAAGACCTAATGAATAGCACAAACAATTCATGTGGGGAATCAGTTTCTAACTGGCGAATGAAAAACTGCTCATCCAGTGCATCATAATCATTCGCGAACTGCTGGCATACTTCGCACGAGTGTACAACCAGACTCCTTCTTATTAAATAGCCACACATATACTTCAAAGAGTTTAACTCGACAATATTCGCATGACGATATTGCAAATGACGATCATCGATGTACATCACCCTCTTGGTATATTTTTTGGTGTTTGTATTGCGAGCTGCTTTCATTCGTTGAATAAATTTCGCATACTTTAGATCATAAGATTGTGACTCCGAATGTATAAAATCTACCGAAAACTGGCATGCAAAACTCTTATAAAACTGAATTGGTGTCAGACTACTTGTGCTTTTAGTGCTTCTTTTAACTGCATTGAAAAATTTATCCATACCATCTTGATTTAATCTTCGTGTAAGTAAAAACTCAAAACCTTCTCGCTTTAGCGTCTTCCATAGTAATCTAACAGCCTCTATTGTTATCTCCCAGCATCTGAGAGATGATATTTTACTGGTCACATCCTCTCCACTAGGCGATAATACTTGTACTCCTCTTAAATACTCCAGTGCTTCCCGTAGGAGTTCTCTTTGAGAAATTGTATTTTTGAATCCCCTTTTATATTTTAGGTCATTTCGAAGACGATTTGAGTTCAAGAGGTCAAACAGCTTATCAAATCTATCTAAAAATACGCAGGTGTGCTTAGCTTCAGCTGGCATTAGGGGTGTTAACCCTCTGCTAAACATATTGATACCAGCAGCCATTTTATTACTCAATAATTGAACTGCGTATCTTAAATCCCACTTCCAGACATTGCTAAGGCGTATGTGGGCATCGGTTAACCGATATGCGAAATTGATATTTGCTTCTTTATCACGTTTATAAAAAAGGTCTACATATTCCCATGATGCTTCTTCTTCTCCGTATATGAAATTATTTCTTTTAAAAGTGTTTCTAGTGGACTTCATCAATTGAGGTGGATCAAAAATGTAAAACACCTTGTGAGATTCGACATAAAAGTACGGTTCTTCTGGACTTACATTTAGGATTTTTGCCAGTTGGACAAATTTGGAATTGATACCAGATATAAAGTTGACAACTTTAATACCAAATCGATTCAACAAGCGAATTGATTTCATTAGTAAAACTCTCATGTGGGTAACTTTAAATGAAGAGTTTGAGTAGAAGTACGCAATTGGCTGCTTCCATTTAGTAAATATACTCTGAGCCAGTATAACAAATACTTTAGTTGCTGGTTTAAAGACTTTCCCATTGCCCGCATCTTCCCAGCCAATGATCTCATCTCTATTGATGTTGTAAAATAAATTTGGTGTAAGCGACATTTCGTTCATGGTAAGTGAACAAAACCTGTCTAGAGGTTTGAGAGCCGATACTTTCGCTTCAAGAAAGTCCACAGTCTTATCTTGCAGCCCAGGTTTAAATACGATCGCACTTGCCATATTTTTCAGGGCGTTTCTCGATGGGAGTTTATAGATCTCTGCCAATAGCGAGTACGCTAAAGGACAGGTAAAATAGAAATATGTACAAAATTTCTTAAATTCATCACTATATCTTCCAGGCTTGAGATTCTTTTCACGTTCATACGCAATTATGGTAAACAGTCTCATAGTTTCCTTTGGCCAAATCATAGACAGTGCTTTTATAAACGCGTCCACTGAATCCGTGCACATATCAAGCGCATCTCTCAGTTCGAAAGGGGTGGGTTTTCTTTTTTTGAACACTTGAGGACGACGCATCTTACGAAGACGTGCTTTCAACTTACGCTTTTGAGCCGCAAGTTTCCTGTAGGTAACCTTCATTTTTTTAAGTTCAGATAATAACGCGATTTCTTCGTCATCCTCTTGCAACGCATCAACTTCATCCCACTCGTCATTGGACAACTCTGCAATAATGAATTTAACAAATAAAGTGGTTCAATATAATATACCATCTGAGTCAGACTCCCCCAAGGGTACCATTTCATCTTGGCCTATGCTACAATGCGCAGTAGCATTGTCTTGTGGTATTTCTAAAAGGAATGTGGGTCATATTTGAGAAAATAGTCAAAATTACACATACCATCTTCTTCTGATATCTCTCCACACACATCAGGCCCTTGCGTTTCCATGCTGCTATATCCAAAACGCGATTATATGTAGCACAAAGAAACACCTAAAAAACAAACATTACAGAATACTTGCTTGAAGGGAGGGGTATATAGAACTATATGCAGAATGTTCCTAAATTTGATGTAAATACGGAAGGGGTTTATTATGTGGCTTATTTTATGATTAAAAGTTCGTATAAACATAGGTCAATCAATTAATCATTTCATTTTCCATGTAGACTACATAATATGTATAATATATAAGAGAATAGGAACGTAAAAAAAAATAAATAGACAATAAATGATACGTGCAATCACGGAAGTTAAATGTACATAGAGCGTCTTAAGAATTGGCGAGGTATTTTTTAATACTGTAAAACGGGTGGTCAATGAGGAACTTTTTTAGATATTTTTTAAATGGGCGATGAGAGGACAGATTCTTGGCTTCTTGTGGAAGATGGTTGAATAGCTTTATCATCATATATTCTGGCGATTCTTCGAATAGCGTTGTGCTGTGTGGAGGTACAGTGGGGTGTCCGCAAACGCTTCCTTTGCCATTGGTAGTGAAAATCTATAGGGCGTTTTTTCAGGAGTCATGTTCTACCCTTGAACTTTTTTTGTAGATTTAAAATTGGAATTTGCTTTTTTGTTTTTTTCTGAAAACTTTTTGCTTCTTGTAATTTTTTCGTATTTGCAACCGTTATCGAGAGAAAAATTAAAAACCCATTTTCCCTAGTGGGCTATTAATAATAAATGTAAAATTTTTAGAATAATCCATTAGGCACTGGATTTGTTTGGAGAATTTCTTGTTTTTACTGGTCTTGAAAGTTCGAAATTGAACTTGTAACTTATTGTGTTTGTATATGTAAATTAAGGGTTTAATTTGTAAAGTGTACAGTGAAATTATAACACTCTGTAGATCGGTACCGAAGCGATTCTAGACCTATGTTTATATCAACTTTTAGTCATAAAATAAGCCAAAGAATTAGCCCCTTCCGTATTAATACCATATTTAGGAACACTACCCTGTAGATAGTACAATATCGAACAGGCAAAACAATGTTTGGAATCATTATGAATTCTAATGGTATATCTCAGGGATAAACTATGAGTCCTCTATTATTCCTGCCTTTACAAAAATATACAAATAATGATCCCCAAAGAAATAAAATAATTAATCTTCCAAGACCTTTCCAATTATTTTTGTAAGCATATAGATTTCAGAGTACTTAGGCCAACATAATAGTTGTCAACAACCCGTATTACTACGTCAAGGGCGCTGTGTAAGATCCACATCAGCGATCTGGAACCTAGAGAAAAGGGGATTTAGAGAAAGATGATGCCTTGGAATAGCATTTTCAAACGTTTCTTAATCAAAAACCAATTGAAAAAGTGGTTAAAAAAATAAACGGGTAACTAGATTTCGAGTGAAAAACTTTTGTAGTGTCAACATTTTGCAAATTCTGTGCACCCTGTATACATATTAGGTAAGACATAGTAAAAATAGGTCTTACGAAAATCTTGAAAATAATGGGTCGTTTCGCTTGCATGGCAAACAATAATATTGCGAGAAAATTTACTAAAAATTAAAAAAATGTAAAAACCCCACACAGTACACCATAAGTCCCGCAACGGTCGAATATCTCGGATATCTATGAACGGAAAAACGGAACTTGAGTGGAAATAATCCAAATTTATTTTTAAATAAAACACCCTGTATATTTTATATATTTTTTAATACACAATAAAAAAATCACATTCACAAATACTAGCAAAAATGTCTATCTTTAATAGAAAACACAGAAAAATAATTATTTTAAGAAATGAGAAATATCACATCGGCCCTGCAAAACATAATAATATTGTTGTTGAAACTTAAGTGGAATCAAATGATAAGTAATTTAATACTTTACTCAAACGCAACAGAAATGCTAAATACATACTTTTCAACGCCAATGTGATTTTTTAATTTCTTAAAACAATTATTTGATTGCTGCAGGTATTTTTTAACGTGGTTTTTTCTTGTGTATTTAAAAATAAAAAATATACAGGGAGTTCTATTTACATTCTTGGTTATTGCCGAACAAATTGACTCGGACCGTTGTTGGACACCCTGTATAACTGGACTATTTTATTTTATGTATTTCAATTTGTACATGAATTTAATTATTTTTAGGGAATTTCTAAAAAAAATAAAAAATGTATATTGTGGCCACTTTGTTCGTCCGCCCGTGTGTACCTATGGCCGTGCCAGATTGAGAGTGAGCTTCCTATAAAAACAAAATCGCGTGTCAAAAAAATGCGCGAACGAAAATAAAAATACGTAAGCCAAAGCAAAAATATTCAAATTAATTAATATGACAGCCAGATGTTTAGTTTTATTTTATTATTTTTGTTGCAAAAATTAGGCGCCCTTCAGCAGAGGTTTTGTCATTTAAAAGTAGACAGAGAAAAATAATACATGTGTCTACTGCTTAATAAATAGGTAGCACTGTATATCTACATTTAGAATTTTTGACATACTTTAATTTTTATATCAAGAGTGACTTTTTGAGCCAAAATCATAAATGCCATTCTTTAATCGTCGTCATTTCTTTAGCCCTAGATTGTTTTTTCGTCGCCATGACGAAGAGTCATGGCCAACTAACAAAAAAACCTAAAACTGTACTTTATTTTTACCGTAGAAAAACTAAAGTCAATATTTTGAACAAATTTTTGGAGTAGAGTACATTATATAAAGTTACCCATAGAGTTACCCTCATTTTTGTGTTTCATAAAATGTCATAAAAATAAATTAACAATTTTTTCAATGTAATTGTTGGCTTATGAACCCCCTGTATTTATTTATAATCAAAATATCAACATTAACCCGCTAAAATGGAACCTCTTCTAACAGGCAACCACCCACAATTAAACAATAACGGTTCTCATATAGAATGACAATTATGATTGCAGCCGCAAACGTCATTTTGAACAAGACATGCCAAAAACGGATAAATGAACATTATACGCATTTTACGTATGTAAAAGTGAAATAATATAATATATAGGGGTTTTCACTTAAAATGAGTAAAATGGCATCAGGTATAACTGGAAGTGTCACCAACATGGAGATATTTTAGATGAATTTCTCTTATCAGCATTAATATATTGTCAAATTTTCTAAATATTCTGAGGCCTTCTTTTCAATATAGATAGCAAAGGAAAAAACCCAAATGAGAAAGCGGGTGAATAGATAAAGCAAAACGTCTTATTGCACTAAGAATTCACTTACCTTGTTAGGTACACAATTTACAAAAGAACGATGAAATACCTACGTTTATAGAGTTCAAAACACAAAAATCCGAAATAAACACCGTGTTAACTACAAGAAGCACCCATAGATATGCACACTTGAACCCGAAGGAAATAAAAAAATGAAAACAATATACATAAAACACATTTAAAAGATTAAGTATGTCTTTTTTTAAATGCTGATTTTCAAAAAATTCGTGAATTGTTTTTAATCGCTTAGAAAGCAGCCTCAAATCAGGGTAATGTGGCAAACATTTTTCCCAGATTTTTGAAAAACGCTCAAAGATACAATTTTTGGCAACAAAGCCAGCATCAGTCAGGCTTAATACACAAATAACCATAATTGTCAAATGAAAGCGTTGTTTAAGCATAACATTGAGTCCCAATTTCTGAGTCTAGTTTTTTTTACCGCGTTACAGTTAACTTTATAGAGAATCTGATCAAGTTAAAAGCAAACAATTAGTTTGTTGTTAGAGCAGGTTTTGTGTGTGATTTCTGAAAACAACAACCTCAGAACGTCCCAAAACAACACCAACACTGGCGTAAGACTATGCCCGCAAATTTGCACCGTGATTATATCTTCATATCCTAATATGGATAAAAAAGTAGAAACTTACTGCAAGATGAGTATAATCTTTCGCAATATTTTAAATTCCGAAAATGTAAAATAACGGCAACAGCATGGCGCATTCAACCGGACGCGAAATTGTTTTATGTAATTTTATGCATGAGTGCGACGTCGCGTAATTGCTTAGTTGTATGACATTGCATTTTTTTTTATTTTCACTAGGACCGAACATAATGAAATTTTTATGACACTGGCAACCTACATGAAAAGTGAAGATCAATACGAAGTTAACCAACCCATCTACCAATGGCTTGGTCGACATTTCGACACGATCGGCTACATTAAAACATACGGGGCAAAAAAGGTAACCCCTTTCATCATAGGCAATGGCCATTATCTTGCCGTGGCCAATTTTCAAAATAATTTTGGTAAGAAAAACTTTCTTGTCAATCGGTAGTGCTCTCAGTGTTACTGTTTCAGGTAACACAAACATCTATTCCGAGATATATAAATATAATAGACACTTGGAGAGATTTGAAAGTTACCAGAAAATTTTAACAACAGCAGCGGTCGATGTTAAACATTTTGCTTTCAAAGGAGAAAAGGGAGCGGAGCATTTTTTGGTATTCGCAAATTTCTTCGAAGCAGGTAGGGGATACCGAACGAACGTCCGCAGTTGACACAGATATTGCAGGAATTAATGGAAGTAGAAGTTACGAGACCATCTCAATCGTTTACAAATATGTAGATCAATTTTTTATACCATTCCAGAGCTTTAAATTGAATGGCGTTACACAGTGGCTTCCCGTGACAGTAAGATTCAAACTGGGGCAGGCAAGTACTAACAAGTTTACTTTCAAGGGTCCCCTTGGCGAATTTGCATTACTGGCAGCTTGTGAGTTTGACGGGTTGAAAGTCTTTCAATACGACGGTTGGAGGTTTACGGAATCTAACGTTCAATACACCAGTGAAGCATTTACCAAAGGAATCTTGTCTATGAAGGCATACAACCTGGACAACAAAATCTTTGTTGGTAAGATTTCATCATCAACTTTGAGTTCTTGTGTACATTCCATTAATTTTGCAGATCTTGGTTTCAGTTTGTGAATACTTTTGTTCAGATATATTGGTCTTTATTGCTATATTGTGTGTTTTAAAGTTAATACATTCCCTAATGTATTGCCGAAAGTTGTAGACTTGCGCGAGTAAAACGTCTTTTCTGATATTAATTACAATAACTAGATCCCGCGGTTTTGCATTACACGCCGTTTTGTATTGGTTTACCGTTGAGTAATTTTCGATCAATTCGCTTAATCGTTCTGAAAATGTCGATTGGGTTTGTCTTGCAATATTCTATGGTAAAAGATATTTTATTCGGTTCAAAGGACCAATATCTTGAAGTGCTCGCTTTTAACAAGTGTCATCGTACCTATAGGTGATAAAAATGAATGATTTTTAAGACTACACTAGCGTCGGTTTATTTTGAACTTTGCCGAAAACGTGTATTTTCAGCTGTTTCTTCGGTTTTCGATACTTTGTGTTACTTCATTCCGTCCTTCGCTATCGATGGTAAGGACGACTCTGTTATAATTTCACTCTGTTTCTTTAGCATTTATCGTATACGGTATCAAAACGTGTAACGAATTTAATGTAAAATTATTACTATGTTTACGTTTGTTGAGGGTTAATACACTCTGGCCGCAGTTATGGCCAAAAAAATATTATGTTTTTCAATCAACTCGGATAGTGCAGCGATAACATCAATGGCGTACGTGCGTATTTAGATTATTTTTTCGAATACTTAGAGGGGGAGGGGGGGGGGGGGCAGTTGCGCCTCTTAATCAGAAGTTTTATGCCATTTTTCTTCGATTAAATTCAGTGGTAAAGCAAAATCTTCATTTATTCACAAATTTCGTACGCAACACGGAAGAACATTTTGATTTCATGGCAAGAAAAAACATTTTATGCCATTTGTGTTTGATTAAATGCGAGGTTAAGTGGTAGATGAAAATGTTCATTTATTCAGAAATTTCGTCGGAAAAATGGCAACGAGTAAATTTGTTTATAATGATGCGTCCGAGCATTTATTGGGTCATGAATTCTGGACCTATTACTTTCATGCAAAAGTTGTATTTAAAAAACCTCAAATAATTCAAAAACCGTGTTCAGTTTAGTCCCATGGCCACATACCAAATTTTGTGAGGATTGTTTTCCCATTCAAATTAAAGAGGTATAACTGGAAGAGTCTAACTGTCCCGCTTCAGATTTCAAGGTTTTTTTTGGTTGCTAGTCCATAACTTTTGATTGAGAAGTCCGATCGAAAAAGTACGAATTGTTTTGGATTCTACGCACCAAAATTAATAAAAAAAGTGTTTTCTCGAGAAATTTTGGTGCAGTCAATTTTTGGTAAAAAAGGAAGGTTATACACTGCCTTTTTTTTGAGCCCCGAAAAAAAATTGTCTCAGACCGACCCGAAAAAAAATTTTCTTATAGAATGTGGCCTGTAGAATCCATAATTTCAAACAGTTCCAAGATTGGGCTACTAGTTCAAAAGTTACAGCCCTTTGAATTTCTTTCGAAATTGGTTTAAGTCCATAACTTTTGATTGAGAAGTCCGATCGAAAAAGTACGAATTGTTTTGGATTCTACGGATCAAAATTAATAAGAAAAAGTGTTTCCCCGAGAAATTTTGGTGCAGTCGATTTTTGGTAAAAAAAGGAAGGTTATACACTGCCTTATTTTGAGCCCCGAAAAAAAAATTGTCTCAGATCGACCCGGAAAAAAAATTTTCCTTATAGAATGTGGCCTGTAGAATCCATAATTTCAAACAGTTCCAAGATTGGGCTACTAGTTCAAAAGTTACAGCCCTTTGAATTTTCTTTCGAAATTGGTTTCTAGTCCATAACTTTTGATTGAGAAGTCTGATCGAAAAAGTACGAATTGTTTTGGATTCTACCCACCAAAATTAATAAGAAAAAGTGTTTTCCCGAGAAATTTTGGTGCAGTCGACTTTTGGTAAAAAAGGAAGGTTTATACACTGCTTTTTTTTGAGCTCTGAAAAAAAAATTGTCTCAGATCGACCCGGAAAAAAATTTTCTTATAGAATGTGGCCTGTAGAATCCATAATTTCAAACAGTTCCAAGATTGGGCTACTAGTTCAAAAGTTACAGCCCTTTGAATTTTCTTTCGAAATTGGTTTCTAGTCTATAACTTTTGATTGAGAAGTCTGATCGAAAAAGTACGAATTGTTTTGGATTCTACGCACCAAAATTAATAAGAAAAAGTGTTTTCCCGAGAAATTTTGGTGTAGTCGATTTTTGGTAAAAAAGGAAGGTTATACACTGCCTTTTTTTGAGCCCCGAAAAAAAAATTGTCTCAGATCGACCCGGAAAAAAATTTTCTTATAGAATGTGGCCTGTAGAATCCATAATTTCAAACAGTTCCAAGATTGGGCTACTAGTTCAAAAGTTACAGCCCTTTGAATTTTCTTTCGAAATTGGTTTCTAGTCTATAACTTTTGATTGAGAAGTCTGATCGAAAAAGTACGAATTGTTTTGGATTCTACGCACCAAAATTAATAAGAAAAAGTGTTTTCCCGAGAAATTTTGGTGCAGTCGATTTTTGGTAAAAAAGGAAGGTTATACACTGCCTTTTTTTGAGCCCCGAAAAAAAAATTGTCTCAGATCGACCCGGAAAAAAATTTTCTTATAGAATGTGGCCTGTAGAATCCATAATTTCAAACAGTTCCAAGATTGGGCTACTAGTTCAAAAGTTACAGCCCTTTGAATTTTCTTTCGAAATTGGTTTCTAGTCCATAACTTTTGATTGAGAAGTCTAATCGAAAAAGTACGAATCGTTTTGGATTCTGCGCGCCAAAATTAATAAGAAAAAGTGTTTTCCCGAGAAATTTTGGTGCAATCGATTCTTGGTAAAAAAGGAAGGTTATACACTGCCTTTTTTTGAGCCCCGAAAAAAAAATTGTTTCAGATCGACAGGGAAAAAAGATTTTCTTATAGAATGTGGGCTGTAGAATCCACAATTTCAAACAGTTCCAAGATTGGGCTACTAGTTCAAAAGTTACAGCCCTTTGAATTTTCTTTCGAAATTGGTTTCTAGTCCATAACTTTTGATCCTGGTAATACCATTCCTTGAGTTGGATTAAAATTTTTTTAGCATTCAGGGGTGTGTGTGTGTATTTTGAACAGGATAATGCATTAGCTGTCTAAATTAGAGCACGGATTCTACCGCCATTTTGTACGACGATCGGACCCAACCTCCGCACTTCATGTATTTTGAACGTACAGTACCCAAATTCGTCGCATTCCCTGCGATATGGTAAGAGCTTAATAATTAGTATATTGTAGCCATGCTGTCGACGGGAGTGAGGAGAAATCGGATCCAGTTCGTCCGGTATCAGCGTAAGTTCCGAAGCGAGATATTCATCATACACCATCCTTCATGTTGCAGCCGAAATCTACATATTAGAAAATACACATGGAAGGAAAGCCAATTTGCTTGTGTGGTAGGTAATAGAAGATAAGTAGTGTAAGCAGTCTCGACCTTCTTTATCCCTTTAACCTGGAACGATAAACGCAAGGCAATCTAATTTTCTCCCTCTTCTAAATAATGAATATTGTTTGCGTTGTATTTATTACATTGACGTTGCTTTTCTAGTAAACTTAAGGGGAAAGAAGATAATTAAATGTTTACCTTCCAGAAACTTCGCAAGATGCAGAGTTTTTTTGGTCCTTGCGTAACATATTTTATTTAGTGGCGGAATACAATTTCGGTTTTATAAAAAGAAATGCCTTCAAAAAGGGAGAAAGATGGTGAGCACCTTGCGATGCTAAACATGTGAATGACAAACCGACATGAAATTTTTAAAGTGAAGCGGAAATAGGAAATATGCGTGTGACAAATAGGATTCTCCGCAAGCTCAGATATAGCACTTCGAGTGGAAGGGAATCGCATTCTATTGAGGCTTTTCGTTTCTACATCGGAAAGCTTTATGGGTAGCGAGAAGTGATTCCACTTTTAATAGGATTTCTAAAATTAACTTATGAATGGCGCTCGTTCTAAAAAAAAGCTTTTGTGTCAATATTAACATCTATAAAATGGCTTGATTTGCATGACCGAAACGGAGGTAGCTCCAACTAAAATTTTTACTACGTAATAATTTCAAATTTTATTGTCGACAGCTGCAGCTTTTAATTTCGGTTTAGGCCGACTCGATTTATCTTCGACAGCTTTTACGAGACAGTTTCGTAATAACTGTTATTGCCTCTTCTTTACTTATTATGTAATGTTTAGACACAGACATGCAAAATTTCGATTAAATTCAGTTACAAATGGTCACACGTCGCTCAGAATGTGCAGGACCATTTCATCTTGTAACCTCCAGCTGTTTCAAGAAAAAGTCATTTCTGTAAAGCACCTAGGTCTGTCCTATAACACATTGCCCCAAGGGCGTGTACTTAAAATTAATTTAATTTAAGCACTCACAGTCGGATTTATACCAATCGCACTAGCATTCAATAGAAAAAAGTTGCATTTTAATAGGCCCGTTGAATGTACCCTGCTTTATGTAACTGACTGAATGCGCTCTTAGTGTATTGGGAGTTGTTGGAAAATTCCAGAGTCATCAGGCTAAAATTGTTTAAATAATGATCTAAGCGTCTTTACGCGAATGAGGAAGGGTTGTGTTCCTCTTGAGGTAATGTTATTTTTATATAATTCCTCTTCGTTAACACGGTTCTTTTTAGGTTACGCCACATGTGTTAATTTAATTACCTATCTTCGTTTTATCTATCTCGTAATCTGAAACCCATTTATTAATGGGGTATGTGGTTCGAATTAATTGGAAGTAAGAAATAATTAGCCCAAAATTATGGGTAAAACATGTTTTGTTTAGTGGGTACTGACCACCTAAAGAACCTCATTTCAATTAATTTGACTTCAAAATGTACTAAACTTGACACGAACATTGAATTCATTTACAATGGAATTATATTGCAGCGAATATTCCCGAACAATAATTAGTCATCGGCGGCGATAAAGGCGGATGCGACGCAATCTTTCCGGGATATACGATGTGTTGTGTTTTAGAG